CCCACTTCTATGAATGTATCCCTAGAAATCAGAAACACCAATCAGAAAGGATATATGTACCCCTATGTTCATAGCAGCACAATTTACCATAGGTAAGATTTGGAAACAGCCTAAGTGCCCCTCAGCAGATGAGTGGATTAGAAAACTGTGGTATATCTACACAATGGAATACTACACTGCAGTAAAAAAGAAGGAACTCTTGCCTTTTGCAACAGCATGGATGGAACTGGAGAGCATTGTGCTAAGTGAAATAAGCCAGTCAGAGAAAGATAAGTACCTCATGATTTCACTCATTTGTGCAATATAGAGAACAACGTAGACTGATGAACAGGGACAGATCCAAAGACAGAGAAACAGGATCTGTTTTTGGACAGATCCAAAAACAGAGAAATAGATCAGACTATTAATCCCCAGAGGGAAAGTAGGGGAGGGAGGGGGCAAGGGGAAGAGATCAACCAAAGGACTTGTATGCATGCATATAAGCCAAACCAATGGACATGGACAACAGGGGGATGAGAGCATGGGGGGGAATGGGAATTTAATGGGGGGGATGAGGACACATTTGTAATACCTTAACTAATAAAGAATTTTAAAAAAATGTGAACCAACTATATACTATCAAATCCATTTCACAACAGTACTACAGTTTAGTTGAAAATAAATACATGGAGAAATAAAGGCTTGCAACCAATCAAAATAAAGCAGGAGTGGCTATATTAATATCAGATAACATAAACTTCAGAGGGACAAAAATGATCAGGGAAAAGATATTGCATAATAATGAAAGGGTCACGGCACTAATAATAACAATCCTAAATGTGTATTCACCAAACAACAAAACTTCAAAATACATGAAGCAAAATTGATAGAACTGAAAGGAGAAAGGGACAAATCCAGAATTATAAAGACTAGCTTTTCTCTCTCAACAATTGATAGAACTACTTATACAGAAAATCAGCAAAGACATAGAAGAACTAAATAGTGTCAGCCAACAGGATCTAATTGACAGTTTTACATTACCCAACAACAGAATAGACTTTTTTTTTAAGCTGCCATTTGATACTCAAGATAGTACGATGGGCCATGAAACATATTTTAACACATTTAAAGGAATTGAAGTCATACATATATGTTCTCTGACCACATGCAAACTTGAAATTAATGTTTCCAAACACATGGAAAGTAAACAGCATATCTCTAAATATTCATGAGATTTCAAGAGAAAATAAAGATAACATTAAACTGAATAAAAATGAAAATGCAACATATCAAAATTTGAAGGACAGCATTGCTCACAAATTTATAACACTAAATACTTATATTAGAGAATGGGAAGGTTATCTAAGCTTCTACCTTAAGAAATTAGAAAAAGAATCTATAATAATAAAAGCATAATATACAAATCAACCAAACAGCAGAACACGATCACGCTATGACACACTGGTGCCAGGCCAGCCAAGGTGGATGCAAAGTGATTGGTCAGGAGGGCCTGCCATCACCCCATGATAGCCCCACTGAGGGAGGCCCAGGCCACCGGCCGGCGGGGTGATCAATCAAGGGGAAGGGGGGAAGTGACAGCAGACATGGGCAGCGCCAGACCAAGACGGTTGCGGGCGGAGGGCAGGGCCGGCTGCCAGCAGCTGGTAGCTGGGGGAAGCCCAAGTCCCAAGTGCCAGCAGCTGGAGGGAAGCCCTGGTGCTGGCAGCCAGGGGAAGGAAGGCCTACCCTTGCACAAATTTTGTGCATCAGGCCTCTAGTAACATGATAAACCCGGAACAAGAAGAAAGGAAAAATCTCAAGTATTTGATTATTTTGAGTCTTATATCAGATATATAATTGTCATTGTACAAGGATGTAATTTTAAACACAAACCACTTGCCCTTTTCTTTATCTTTAGTTTACTTGTCATCTTGTTTCACCAATACTAGAGAGTATAGTTTCATACAGGACACTCTTAACCAGTGCCGGCTTGATATAAGGTGTGATCTACAGTCGTCATGGCAATTTGGGGATACAAAACTGGTTCATAATAAAGATCTGGAAAACAGTTTTACTTCTAAGAGGTAAGTTACTATGACCTAAAGAAGTCTGAGGTTTCATTTTGTTTGTTTTAACTATAAAGTCTTCTATGAATTTGTTATTTCTACTATTTGAGGTTTGATAAATATTACTAAGAAAATAAGTACAGATTTTGTTTATTTATTATTTTGTTGCCTTCTTACAGACTTTTGTGATAGTCAAAAGCTAAATGTGAGATTTGATTAGTGAGTTTTATACGTTAACTAGAGGCCTGGTGCACGACATCGTGCACCAGGGGTCCCTCAGCCTGGCCTTTGTCCTTTCATAATCCGGGACCCCTCAGGGAATATCTGCCTGCCAGCTTAGCGGGAGCGGGCAAACATCCCCTGAGGGGTCCTAAGCACTGCCACTGCACTCGCCAGCCATGAGCCCGGCTTCTGGCTGAGCAGCGCTTCCCTTGTGGGTACGCACTGACCACAAGCTGGGGGAAGCTCCTGTGTTGATTTTCTGCCCCCTGGTGGTCAGTGCACATCATAGCAACCAGGTCTTTCTGCCATTCGGTTGATTTGCATATTAGCCTTTATTACCTAGGATTAGCTTGCTAGTTACAACAATAACACCATCAGAGTAAGATTCTGGGAGAGTTAAAGGTATGCTATAATTTTGTTCTGATATCTGGGTTCCAGTTTAAATATGTTTGGCAAGATACTAAAACATTGTAAAAGGACTGAACTTTGCTTCATTGTAGACTCTTTTTTTTTTTTGGTTGCAAAAAGCTTTATTGTTTCATTTGGTTCATTGCATGGGAGAGGGCTTCAAGTTGGTTAAAAGAATGGCTAGTAGTTTCAGGAAAAGGCTCAAGTAAAAGCCAGACACCAGGGAAATACAGAGGGGCCTCTGAAAGGCCTCTGGGCTCCTTGGGCTCCTAGTTGTGCTTGAGGGTGAGCCTTTCGAAGAGGTACTCGCCCAGCCCAGCCTGGGGGCCGGCCAGCCTGTGGAGGTGAGTCAGGTGTCACCCATCTTCTTGATGAGTTTCATCTCCTCATCCAGGAAGTGGTTCTCCCAGAAGCCACAGAGATGAGGGTCTTTGCGGGTAGAACCCAGGGCCTGCAGCTCCAAAAGGGCCTGGTTCAGGTTCCTCTCCAAGGCCAGGACGGCTTCCCATGGCATCCTGAGTTTTACCCACTCATCTTGGGAGGCTTCAGCACATCCTGGAGAGAATGGGGCCTCTACGCTTGTTTTGCATCTTTAAGAGATCAGGCAGGGAATCTTGGCTTCCTCCATCACTGGAGCAAGCAAGCCTCCTGTTCGCTTCAGCTGCGTGGCTGCTGGCCGCCATCTTTGTTGGCAGTTAATTTGCACATCTCGCTGATTAGCCAATGGGAAGGGTAGCGAAGTTACAGTTAATTACCATGTTTCTCTATTATTAGATAGGATTAGCCAGATTTCAGACATTCTTAACTTTTTAATCTTGATAAATTTTTCAGACACATACATCAGCACATTCATTAAGCATCAATTTTGTAGATTCTTTGTGCCTCCTGCTATATAAAACAGCAGTTAAAATATTTAAAAAGAAACTTTTTTTCTTGACTTAACCCTTGAGAGACTGAGCTGATGTTTTTATTAGGCAAGATAATATCTGGCTATTTCTAACTATTCCACTAGAAGCACTATTTTTGACACTCAATTTTTTAAAAGTACACCTTCACTTTTTTGGGAAGGCACATCCATTATGTTATTTTGATAAGAATCAAAGCATATGCACAGTTCTCATGGTAAACATTTTGTATTTATAGGTATAGGTTTTCTGTGAACAAAATTTAGTTTAGTTTTTTCATTATCTGGACTTGCCTCCACCAATTTGCATTTATCTTAAAAGTTGATGGGACCCATCCTTAGAATTCACTTTGAAATGTTTGGGGTTTCTTTTTTTGTATTAGAATCAATTCTTCTTAACTCAGACCTGTTGTCCCACTCAGTGGTTTTTGGGGAGAATTTATGGGAATGATAGAATTAGTTGATGGTATATTCTTTTCATCTAAAAATCCAGTTTTGAGCAAAAGTAAAATGGAGTGGATATATCCTAACCCTTGCAGATAGAAATAACAGTATCATCAAAAATGAATTTTTGGCATTGTTTCTTGATTTTGGTTCTTTTAGGAATTTAATAATTTTGTTCTTTTTCATAATGTCCCCACCACCATCACCACCATGCAACATTTTATTTTCAACCTGTTATTTCTCCTTGTGAATGTTATAGAAAAGTTAGAACAGCTACCCAACAATTCAAGACATGTTAGACATTCTAAATGACCAACAGGTATAGGATACATTTATTTCTTGCCTAATTAGATAAACTCACTTGTTTCCGATAGAACTTTATACTGGTTTTATAGAACTAACCACAATACATTGGTTTTGTCTCATTTCCCTACTACATTGTGAGTTTCATTTTATTTGTTTTTGTGTTCATAATATGAAACAGTCTGGCAAAACAGTGGGCACTTAATTATTAAATTAGGTTGAATTTTTATTTAACCTAACCTAATTTTATATGTTAAAAAATGAATGATAGGAAGTTCCCTAAAGCAAGCGGTAAGGCACAGGTAGAAAAGAAAAACAAAAGGGAAAATAAGAATGGTTAACAGAACACAGTGGGGCCTTGACTTACAAGTTTAATTCGTTCCGTGACGAATCTCATAACTCAAATTACTCGTATGTCAAATCAACAGTGAACGAGTGAGACACGTGCTGCTGGACTGATGTTGTAGTGTTCACTGTGACGTTCACTGCACCAACTAGCAGTGGGGTATCTGAAGCTGGCTCCTAACCCGAATTTTAGCTCGCAACTGAAAGCAAAAAATCGGCCAAGAGACAGCTCATATCTAGAAAAACTGGTTAGTTGGGACACTCGTAAGTCAAGGCCCCACTGTAATAGAATGAAAAAAGAAAGTATTAATAACATTGATTGCCTCTGGCTTTTCTTTTTATCACTTCCCTTAGAGGGATTTATAATCTGTGGTCTCAGCAAAAGGAAGTTGCTACAAAAAGATACCAATCTCCACTTCTTATCTACATGCCATCTACCACTTACTAAATGTGAAAGCAGCAAGAACACATTAACCCCTTCCCCAACAATTTTTTTGTTAAAAACGTTTCTTTTTCAGACTAATTTTTTTATTTTGGTTCTATATAGTATTTTTGATGCTGGTTATGAAAACAGTTTGTAACTCGTCTTCCTATAAACCATATTTTTTTTACCATATTTTCTTAGTATACTCGTTGACGACTGAAAAAGAACATTTTGTGAAAACGAGTATACACGTTTCTGCCGGGGAAGGGGTTAATCAAATATCTATGTATTCAATCATTCATTAAACAATTGAGTGCCTACCATTTCAGAGGTTACAGTTGACCCTTGAACAATATTAGGGTTGGGGCACTGACCACCTCTACAGTTGACACTTCTCATACATAGATCCCCAACTGCAGGTGGAAAATACTGTCTTTTTGATATCCTTAGAGAAAAATGTTTTCTCCTCGGCCTTAAAGAATTTACGTTCTAGTGAGAAAATGTTCAGCAAAATATAATGTTATAATAAAGATATAGGTGTACAGCCCTAACCAGTTTGGCTCAGTGGATAGAGCTTTGGCCTGCGGACTTGAAGGGTCCCAGGTTCGATTCCGGTCAAGGGCATGTACCTTGGTTGCGGGCACATCCCCAGTAGGGAGTGTGCAGGAGGCAGCTGATCGATGTTTCTCTCTCATCGATGTTTCTGATTCTCTATCCCTCTCCCTTCCTCTCTGTAAAAATCAGTAAAATATTTTTTTAAAAAAAAGATATAGGTGTACAGATGAGGGATTGATTATTCTTCTTAAAAGTCTTGAGAGATACTGTGAAGAATTAGGAAACTTGAGCTGGTCTTAATGGGTAAAAGAGAAACTGAATTATTAAGCCATTACCTTATTTATATAGTTTGATCCTTTTTTGTTTTATAATAACTTACCTTTAAACATCATCTATACTAATAAAACGATAATGTTCAAATTAACCATCACTCTGTGACAGAGATGGCAGTGCCAATAGCCACAAAGAGGGAGGCACCGGCCGGGGCCATGGAGCTGGCCAGAGCGGGCGGGAGGCGGCTCCAGCCAGGTGCAAAGGCAAGAGGCAGCTCCAGCCCTGAGCGAAGGCGGGAGGTGGCTCTGGCCCGGAGCAAAGGTGGAAGGTGGCGGCCAGAGTGAAGGCCCGGGTCTGGGTGCCAGAGGGAAGCCAGTGCCAACAGCCAGGGGAAGGAAGGCCTATTCTTGTATGGATCTTCGTGCATCCGGCCTCTAGTAAATATATAAAAGGACATCATTTCAAAGGTTGTCAGTACCCAGCTTGATGCTGTGGTTAAATTTCTACTTGACATCTCAATTTACATCCATTCCTGGTGAGTAGTCTGAGCATGGTTAGTTTTATTCCAGCCATGGGCAAACTACGGGCCCACGGGCTGGATCCAGCCCGTTCGGCTCTTCTATCCGGCCCGCGGAGCCGAAAGAGCGGAGGGTTCTCTTGCTCTCCCCTCCGCTTCTTCACCAGCAGCAGTGTTAACATGGCAACGTCGGGAAACACGGCCGCAGCTCCTTCTTCTGAGTCCAGTTTAAGAACCCATTGTGGCCCTCAAGTCAAAAAGTGTGCCCACCCCTGTTTTATTCACTTTATTTATGATTTCAAGAGTGGGCAGAGCCAAATCAGTTTGGGCCAAGTGACACTCTGAGAACATATTGGCTTGGGGTGTTGGGTGCAGAAGAGCTCGGGAAAGAAAAACCAGTTTGATGTGAACAAGGAAGCTTGTTGCTGCAGCCACTGATAGCACTCTTGGAATAAGAAGAGACTAATGATGTTTGGGTACCCTAAAGCTGAGAACAGCAGAACAAAAAGGTAGAAAAAAAACCTGAATTCTTAACATCTGAGCTATGAAATCATCAACCCTGATAATTTCTTGTTATAAAAAGTTAACATGTTTAAGCCAGTTTGAGTGGGTTTCTTCTATAC